TCTGTCTGTCTGTCTGTCTGTCTGTCTGTCTATCTATCTATCTGTCTGTCTCTCTGTCTGTCTGTCTATGTCTATCTGTCTGTCTGTCTGTCTCTCTGTCTCTCTGTCTGTCTGTCTATGTCTATCTATCTATCTATCTGTCTGTCTGTCTGTCTGTCTGTCTGTCTATCTATCTGTCTGTCTGTCTGTCTGTCTGTCTGTCTCTCTGTCTGTCTCTCTGTCTATCTATCTATATATCTGTCTGTCTGTCTATCTGTCTGTCTGTCTATCTATCTATCTGTCTGTCTGTCTGTCTGTCTGTCTGTCTGTCTGTCTATCTCTCTCTCTCTCTCTCTCTCTCTCTCTCTGTCTGTATATCTGTCTATATGTGTGTGTATGTATATATAATTAAAGACTTATTATAATTAATGTATATATAATTAATTAAAAAATATATATATATATAACACAGTATAAACACAATATATAAAGTTTCTTTACTTTCTTTTACAATGGATCAGACTTTATTTTAAAATTGATTTCTGAAAATGTGTTGTTTGGTTAATAACCTTAAGCCAAGTCTATTTCCAAATATTTAAAAACAATTATATTGTAATATAAAAAGGATTTCTTGTTCATTTGAGATGAGCATGTCACTCTGGGAATATGAATAAACTCTAAAAATGTTTTCATTATCATGTTATATGAATTTTGTATTAAATGTCCGTATAACTTGTGTCAATAATGTCTGTCATTCCTTTAGTTTTATTATAATTTTTTTTTTTTAATTTTCATAATTTTAAAGTTTTTAAAAGTTTTCTTTAGAAGTTTAAATGTAAGAGTTCTTTTTTTTATTATTACCGTAATTAAATTCAAAGTGGTCAATGAAATTAGCTTATTGCTGTAAGTTGTAACTCTGATTTGCAGAAACAGCTGCATTGCTCATGAAGTATTATCATTTGTTATTCATTGGTTCCGGAAGCAGCATTTCTTCTCTTGGTTGGGTTGCATAAGGCCATGTTCATGTTTGTATCCTCAGAGTACATATTATCATCAGAACATGGTGTCTGAAATCAAATCTGAAGCCACTGTTATGAGGTATATCATGATCATCGCAGTCAAAGCTAAAGGCCACAAAGCATATACTAAATACTAGTATGGTATTTAGGCTGTTAAAAAATTGATATTCCACATTTAGCTGCCTATACGTGTTTGAAGAAAGCACATCCTTGAGTTGATTTACTATGTTTCCGCTGAAGCAGAGGGGGTCTAAATGGTAGAAATCTCTGGATGATATCTTATGTTTGCCTTTGGGATTTAAACCGCTTTATCTAATCTTGTGTCCCCTCCAGTCCCCAGATGTCTGTTTGTCTGCAGACGTCCTGTGGATGGAAGAAGTAGGGGCTTATGAGGGGATACTCCATGGAAGACACATAGTACCAATTCAATTTTAAAGTATTCAATTAATTTTTTTAATTTAAAGTACTTTATTGGCACAATTCTATTTATATACAATATTGCCAAAGAATTATACACAAAACAAGGTATGAGATAAAAGATAGAAAGAAATGTACAATAGAACAATAACAATAAAATATAGGAAAGAGATTCATCAAAATAAATAAACAACATAAAAAACAAACAGGCCAAAAGTTTGGAATGATTAGGATTCTTTAATGTTTTTAAAGGCTGACAAGACTGCATTTATTTGATCAAAAATAGAGTAAAATAGTAATATTGTGAATTATTGTTGAACAATGTTGAAGACAGTTTTTGCTGCTTAATATTTTTGTGGAAACTGTGATATACCACTATTTAAAAGTTTGGGATAAAATTAAAAAAGAAAAATAAATGAATTATTTTGTTAGGCAAGGATGCATTAAATTGATAAAAAAAAAAGTGACAGTAAAGATATGTATAATGTTACAAATGATTTATATATATATATTTTAAATTCTGTTCTTTTGAGCTTTATATTCATCAAAGAATCCTGTAAGAAAATTATATAATGGTTTTCACAAAATATTAAGTAGCAAAAAGCAGTTTTCAATTCTGATAATAATCAGCTTATTAAAATGATTTCTGAAGGATTATGTGACACTGAAGACTGAAGTAAAGGCTGCAGAAAATTAAGCTTTTACTATATTTTTGATCAAATAGGCTTGGTGAGCATATGATTAGAAAGCATTTCAAAAGCATTAAAAAAAATCTTAATTCTTCGAAACTTTCAACTGGTAGTTTATATATAATATAAAATATTAATTTATCAAGGCGTTATGAAGAAAAAATACTGTAATATTGTTGTTGTGATGATGATGATTACTGTAATAGTATTGATGTAGTACCATCTCAAGTCCATAAACCCCTTCATTGTGGGGTCCTAATTTTTCTTTTCGTACTATAACATCTTTAAACAATCTTGTTTATGGGTGTGTTTCTGCACTGCTTCGAGGCAGTGTGGTCCTGCAATTAAGAGTTTGAAGCTGAAGGCATCAGGGTTGGGTGAGGGGATCCAGGAGGGATGCATGCTGGGGAATGAGGTTGCCCAAGGCTCTCTGAAAGCCAGATGCAGCGTTGTCTCTCTGGAATTAGGGGGTTGTTTTGTGGAGGTGATGGCTCCAGTCGGGGACAGCTTGGATTACTAAATAGAGGAGAGGAATTTCACACACATCCTCTGTGTGTGTACGTGAGAGACTGGAAAGGGGGAAGGGCATCTTAATATCCATGTTGAAACGTCATTCGGATATCTTGCTCGAAAAGTTTACTTAAAGGGATAGTCCACCCTAAATTTAAAATTACGTCATTATTTATTTACACTCATGTTGTTCCGAACCTGTAAGTACTTCTTTCTTCTTTGGAACACAACAGAAGATATTTTGGAACAGAAACTATTTGGTTACCAGCATTCTTCAAAACATCTTATTTTGTATTCATTTTTGGGTGGATTATCCCTTTAAGTCAACATGAAATCAAAATAGACCCAATTTGTTGTCATAATAGACATTTATTGTCGTATTGGGAACAGTTCGTCATTACTCTGAAATTGTTTAAAAAAAATAATTTTTTTTGTGTAATTTTCAATCAAAATGTAATGTAACTTTCCCCATTTTTGCAGCAGCTGGACCAAGCCTCCTTCTTTATATATTGTATATATTCCAGGTTTTGCAGTTGCAGAAAAGGATATTAGGCCAGTGAACTTTAGGTAGAATCAATGTTGTAATTGTTTATTAAAACTATGACATTTTTTTAAATTGAAACAAAGCAGAAATAAAGTCAAATAAAAATATTAGATGGAAAAACCTAAACTTAAAAAAACTTAAACCAAAATTACAAATGTTTCTAAAATATGTCTACTAAAAGTATTACTAAAATTAAAACTGAAATGAAAATAAATGAAAGCGTAATAGAAATATTTAAAAAATAAAACGAATAAAAGCAACAAAAGCACATAACAAAATAACTAAAACTCTTATTAAAAAAATACTAATAAATACTATAATAGTATACAAATAATAGTAAAATAACATGAGTAATGTATTCATGATCCCATAGTTGACGAGCAACAATGACACTAGACTCTCAAACTGTTTTTAGTGGTCTGTTAAGTGCAGTAAAACTAGGTGTGAAAAACAACAAAAGGGGACAAGAGACGGTACTGAACTTGTAGGGGGCACATTTGGTGAGTTGCTAGGCTTGTAAAATCAGTTAAGTTGTTAGAAACACCATATTTGGATTTTGCCGATGTTCTAGATGGTTGAGGAGGTTTCCAGTACTGATTGATGTACACAGAAAACAAATCTCTTAGAGACCACTTTGTCCAAAAGTAAGGAAAAGGAAGTTCTTAAGTAAGCTATTTTAGATAGCTTTACAGTATATAATGGAATATTTACAGGTGATATGTTTTGAAAGTTTTATTACCTTCTAAAGTGCTGCACAGATTCTGGAGCCCTGAGTAATGCTCTTCTTTCTTCTAGGTAAACACATTCCAAGTGGTGCTTGCGTACAATGAGAAGGATACTTATGCACTCTTCCTATACCCTGAGGATGGCCTGCAGTTTTTTGGGACACGGCCCAAAGAATCTTACAATGTCGAAATTGAGCTTCCAGCTCGTGTTGGCTTCACCAGAGGAGAACTGTCCTTCCTCTTCTTTTCTCGGACAGAGGGGCCGTACTACAGCGTCACCAGCAATGAGCAGTCTGTCAAGAACCTTTACCAGTAAGCGTCAGAGGAATTACCATTTGAAAATGTTCAAAATAAATAAATAAATAAAATAGCCTTTTCTTTCATAAATAATACAGAAAATTACTCAGAAATAAAAAAAAATATTATATTATTATAAGATTGTTATTAAATGTTATTAATTTGTGTTTGTTCATAATACAAATCTAACATGACATAATCTAAAACATAGCCTTTTCTTTCATAAATAATACAGAAAATTACTCAGAAATAAAAAATAGTATTATATTATTATTAGATTGTTATTAATTTGTGTTTGTTCATAATAAAAATTGAACATACCATAAAAAAAAAAATTTAAAAAAGTAAAAACAGAAGTGTTTTTACAATGTGAAATAACTTTTTTGTTTTCAACTTTTATATATTTTAAGATGTAATTTATTCCTGTGGTGGCAAAGCTGAATTTTCAGCAGTCATTACTTTTACCTTCAGAAATCATTCTAATATGCTAAATTGATGCTGAAATATACTATAAATATTACAAACAGTTGTGCTGCTTAATATTTTTGTGAAAACCATGATACATGTATTGTTCAGGATTCTTTAATGAATAGAAAGTTGAAAAAAAAATTTTTTTACAAAATATTTTGTAACAAGATGTCTTTACTGTCACTTTCAATCAATTTAATGCATCCTTGCCGAAAAATATAAATTTCTTACAATAGTGTATGTTTCCACAAACACTGAAAACAGGACATTAAATTATTATTTGAGATACATTTATTAATTTATATTAAAAATATTTTATATTTTTTTATATTAAATTATAATTTTATATATTATATTACATTATATTATAACATAAAAACATTAATTTAAAACATTTCTTTGATTAATTTTAAAATATTTTAATTTCCATGATTAAAATGTTAATATTATAATATAATATTATAACTCTCCTCAGAAAAGGAAACATAGGAGAGCCTGGAGTTTGGCTCTTCCACATTGGAAACAGATATTCCTTCCATAATGTCATTCCGGCACAGCATGAGGCTGTTTTAATCAAAGCTCCCCCAGTCCTGGTTGCTGTGTTCCCTGATGAAGACTACACAGAAACAGATGAGGAGGAGTACGATCCTATTGATCCAGACTTCCAAGATCCCACCACAACAGACTTTCTTGAGCCAGAGCAGGACTCCTCCCTACTGGAGCGTCTCAACCAGGAGGTGCCCCTTGGTCAGTCTCCACCTCAGCCCTCAGTGTCTGGTCCAGGCGAGTTTCCTCCGCAGGATCCCCATAATCTCCCCCCGGAGGACGTGACCCAGCCCCAGCGGCCATTACCAAAGCACGCAATTCTGCAGGTGTACCCGAACCGTGTAAAGGATGTCCCACCTCGCGCTTCTGGTGGTCAAGTGTTCAGTGTTGAGGAGAAAGTGGATTTTGACTCTGGAGGTGAGAGTTGAATGATTAACCAATACTGATATATATCGATTGAACCTTTGCTAAGCCCCGCCCTAAAAATGTTACTGACCAATCGTACTTTAGCAACTGTTGCCATACACCATCTCAGTAATATTGTAAATTGTGCTTGTTTCTAATGTTTGTTCATGTACAGTACGTTTCGTGTGTTTAGGTAGCAATGTTGTTATTGTTAATTAAAAGTAATTTTAACTCATTTTAAAACTAAAAATGTATTTTCTGTAATTGAAATAGACCTGAAATAAAACGAAATATAAATATTACATGAAAAGCCTTAGACTAATATAAATAAATTAATAAATGGAAAATGAAAAAACTAAAAAAAGACAACATAAAATTAATAAAACTTAAAAATAAGCTGTAAAAAAAATTAAAACTTAAAAAAAAGCAAAAATGCTAATTCAAAATATTCAAAATAGTATATAAGTAATACTACAATAATGCTGTTAGCAATTATTCAGTAATATATCCATAATTTTTATACACTGAACAATATTAAATCCATTTTTATCACTAAAGAGCCCATTTCCAGCTGTTTATGTTAATGGAAATGTCCAGTTTGCTCCAATGAGATGTTCTGTAAAGCTTGAGTTAAAAACTTAAAAAAAAGCAAAAATGCTAATTCAAAATATTAAAAATAGTATATAAGTAATACTACAATAATGCTGTTAGCAATTATTCAGTAATATATCCATAATTTTTATACACTGAACAATATTAAATCCATTTTTGTCACTAAAGAGCCCATTTCAAGCTGTTTATGTTAATGGAAATGTCCAGTTTGCTCCAATGAGATGTTCTGTAAAGCTTGAGTTAGCAACAATATCTGAGGGGGTGGAGCTTAATATTTTAGCTTAGCAAATTAAAATATACTTTAATGTTAGCAAATGAACTCATAAATTGCTAAGAATTTATACCAACACAGTTTTAATTACACAGTATTGTACAAAAATCATTTCAAAAATCACCAAAAATGGCCAAAAAAGTTATCAGTTCAAAACAAAAGTCTTAAAATTCCCATATATGGGCATGCAAGTATAATTACGTAGGTCTGTCATTTTTTTAATGCACCATTACTTTGATTCATATATTATTTGATTCAATGTTGTGAATCCAGAGAGAACTCAAGATTATGTAGGAGTTTAACCTATGACTTATGACTGAGTTTGACTTTACTAGCCTAATTAAGAGCAATTTGTCTCTCTTTCCGCTCTCTCCTGCAGTGATCCATTACTCAACCGATAATAAAGAGACATGTGAGCGCTTCCAGCAGCAGTGCAGTCAGAACGCACACTGCACAGAATATTCCACCGGCTTCTGCTGTCACTGCAACTCAGGATTCTACGGCAACGGCCGTCACTGCCTGCCAAACGGTAAGACTGGGGCGGGAATGCTGTAAAGAGAGCCATGAAATCACCAAAAATGGCCAAAAAAGAAGTTATCGGTTCAAAACAAAAGTCTTAAAATTCCCATATATGGGCATGCAAGTATAATTACGTAGGTCTGTCATTTTTTTAATGCACCATTACTTTGATTCATATATTATTTGATTCAATGTTGTGAATCCAGAGAGAACTCAAGATTATGTAGGAGTTTAACCTATGACTTATGACTGAGTTTGACTTTACTAGCCTAATTAAGAGCAATTTGTCTCTCTTTCCGCTCTCTCCTGCAGTGATCCATTACTCAACCGATAATAAAGAGACATGTGAGCGCTTCCAGCAGCAGTGCAGTCAGAACGCACACTGCACAGAATATTCCACCGGCTTCTGCTGTCACTGCAACTCAGGATTCTACGGCAACGGCCGTCACTGCCTGCCAAACGGTAAGACTGGGGCGGGAATGCTGTAAAGAGAGCCATTGTAAAAGCCACACATAACATGACCTTGTTCTGAAAGTATGAACAACATTCACAGTACATCTCTGGGGATATATTACCAGTGTTTCTCTTTCCAACACAGTTTTTTTTAAGAGTAAAGATGTATATTTTTGTAATGCAAAAGGAATTTGCAGATAAAATTTTGATTTGGCACACACTTTTAGGTATGCAAATGACATCCAGTTATTTTTCTGTCAAACGTGGTCTTTTACTGACTGCTTCACTTGCGTGCCGAGTGGCCGCTAATTGTCTGTAATTGGATAAAACAATTGCTTGTGGTAATACCCACGACTTATTCCACAGTCTTTTTATTAAGAGTTGTGGCTGCCACACCAATTTTGTGGGAGGTTTTATGTCGGAAACACTTGATCTTTTGGAAAACCTGAGCGGATTTCCCTAGTGAATCATTCGCCGGCTCTCATGGAGCATGGGTAACAGGATCTTTTCAAGACAGTGACATCACATTGGCCTTGTTTGACTGTAATTTACCTGTGAACATCGACTCCATGACTAAGTGTGAAAGAAATCTTGAGCCCTGCTGAATGACAGACATTTGTGTCTGAGAGAAAATATTCAGTGGAAAAGCTTCCTCAGCTTTTGGATATGCTTGTGTATACAGTAGGAGCTTTGTGTGGCCGGTGAGGGAGGTGGTGTAGAGGGAAAACTATCCAAAACCACTCTGAAACAGCTGAGTAACTAGAGAAATTGTAGCTTTTGAGAGCAATTTGTAAATTAAAGAAATAGTTCACCCCAAAATGAATGTATTTACAAAACCTTTCCAAAACCCTATGAGTTGCTTTCTAATATTTTAAAAAAAGTATTTTAATACCATACCATACCTTTTTTTTTTTTTTTAATATGGGAAAGGCCTTACTGTAGCTCAGACAGTAGAACGTGGCACCAGCAATGCAAAAGTCATGGGTTTGATTCCCAGTTAATGCATGAATTTCAAAAAATGTATAGCTTTAATGTATAAATGCATAAATGTATAATATATAATCTTGCTTTCCACCACTGGTTTCAAAATCCATTTGTGCCAATTCTGTAAATTTAAACTGGGCACTTATACAAACTCACACTCTTGTAAACTATTATAACTAACACTTTCCGACTAGTAGATTGTAGATGTTTTTACTTGTAGAATTAAAGGAACAGTTCACTAAAAAAAAATTGCTGAAAATGTACTCTCCAAGATGTAGATGAGTTTGTTTCTTCTTAGGAACAGATTTGGAGAAATGTAGCATTACATCACTTGCTCACTAATGGATCCTCTGTAGTGAATGGGTGCCGTCAGAATGAGAGTCCAAACAGCTGATAAAAACATCACAATAATCATCAAGCCATTGACATGACTCCAGTCCATCAGTTAACGTCTTTTGAATCAAAAAGCTGTGTATTTGCAAAAAACTAATTCATAATTAAGACATTTTTACTTTAAACTGTTGCTTCAGGCTCAAAAACAAGTCCTAACGTTGTATTTAATTGTGGAGATTATCTTGATAAGAATCATAAACATTTGTTGGTCACAAAGCATCTTTTCTGCAATAATCCTAAAAAGCCAATGGAAAAATCCCATTGGCCTTTTTGTTGAGGGAACCAGGGTGATGCTAACTTCCAGACTGGCCTACAAAAATACGTCATCCCTGCAGCACTCTATTGGTTGTTTAGGAATTTCAGCACATTTAATCCTTATTGTAACCTCTCAGATTTAGTTCTCAACACAGAGAATTATTTAGCTGCCCACATACTTGCAAAAAATCATTGTGAGTTTTGTTTTTTGATTTCGTCTCCATCTTGTCCTCAGGCGCACCTCATCGTGTGAATGGAAAGGTCAGAGGGACTGTACTGGTGGGTGGCACAGCAGTGCAGCTGGACAGCATCGATCTGCATGCCTACATCGTGGTGGGTGACGGACGAGCGTACACTGCCATCAGTGAGGTCCCAGAGCCGGTGGGCTGGGCCCTCATGCCCGTGGCCCCCATTGGAGGCCTGTTTGGTTGGCTCTTTGCCCTGGAGTTGCCAAACAGTCTTAATGGCTTCAGTATCACCGGTGAGGCCGTCGTGTTCTCATTCTCTACTTCTTTTATGGTGTAGAATGTTTGTTAAACATTTGGCCTCCTGCTGAGAGATTTTAGGCTTAGAGGTTTTGTTCTCACTAATAGAGTCCCACAAGGGCTTTGCTAGTCTGATATTCAACGCCTGTACAACATCTACTCAACCCCTTCCCCTAATTTAAGTCAGGTGCTCCATTATATAATAATATGTTTTCACTTTGCATGAAAAAGACCTAAATATTCATCAAGCACTATTATAAGGGTCACAGCCCCCATCTGGATCTTATTTTGTGATATTCCTTTGCAGTAAAATGAGTGAGCCACAACACTGCTCTTTAATGACTTTTAATCATGTCGAAAACTAACATTTTGGTTTTACAGGTGCCGAATTCACTCACCGTGCCGATGTGACCTTCTATCCCGGTAACCAGCGTCTCAGCATCGTCCAGACAGCTACGGGTTTGGATAACCAGAACTACCTCAACGTGGACACTCATTTACAGGGCAGTGTTCCCTTCATCCTTCCTGGTGCAACAGTGCAGATGGAGCCATTTAAGGACACCTACAATTATTATCCTTCATGTAAGTTCTGGAGGAAGAAATTGGGGAATAAATATATCTGTCCATCTTTGTTTCTCGACCCTGATCCATATTTCTTGAGTGATTCTGTTTTATGTTTACCAGATTAGACTTAAATGTGTAATCTAATTAATTACACAATATAGCATTAATCACAATTATTCAGTTAAGTTAAGGATCAGTAAGAATTTTTAAATGAATTGATAAAAAATTACAGTTCAGACATTTATAATGTTATTTAAGATTTCCGTTTCAAATAAATGCTATTTTTTTTAACTTGAAAAAGAATCCTGAAAAAAAGTATCACAGTTTCCTCAAAACTGTTTTCAAGAGCGATAATGATAAGAAATGTTTCTTGAGCACCAAATCAGCATATTAGAATGATTTCTGAAGAATCATGTGACACTGAAGACTGGAGTAATGATGCTGAAAATTCAGCTTTGTCATCACAGAAAGGAATGACACTTTAAAATGTATTAAAATAGAAAACATTTATTTTACATTTTAATAATATTTCATAATATTACTGTTTTACTGTATTTTTGATCAAATAAATGCAGCCTTGGTGTGCACAAAAGACTTCTTTCAAAAACATAATGAAATGTTATCAACCCCAAAATTCTAAATGGTATGAGAAGTTGTGTTTGAAAATGGCTTAGCTATAAAAAAAAAAAAGGAAAAGAAAATGTGAGCTAAAAAAATAGATCTTGTGACGTCTCCCGTCTCCCGTCTCCTCTATATCCTTTCAGAGGAAGCTGTGTCTGATCTTGATGCACCCTAAATAAAAGCCTTTTCTCATGTTGCAGAACATGAGGTTGCTTAACAATCAAATCCTGTGGGATTTTGGGTCTAGAATTAAAGCCCAAAATTTGTTGAGAATTGCTTTCCTCTAAACTCTTGCCTTTTTCCTGTTCTCAGTGATTACCTCCACATCCGTGCGCGAGTTTACAGTCGTCTCCACTGAGAATGGAGCAGAGACCCACACTTTCCAGGTCAAACAGAACATCACGTACAGGGAGTGCAATCACGGGCCCCGCAGCAGACTGGAGACACAGGAACTGAGAATGGAACGCGTATTTGTTATGTACGTCAAAGAGGAGCACATCCTTCGATATGCCATTACCAACAAGATCGGCCCTCTCGGAGGTAGGCTGCCAGCACAGTTACAGGGTATGAATACCCTGCTGAAAACACCAAAATTGCTAGTCAATGTTGTCACATTTTGTGGTTTTGATGTGAATGTGCTGATGTCCCAGTCTGGTTTAAAATGGAAGTAGCGACTGATTTTTTCTTCTGTATTGTGACATATATCTTGAGTGTTACAGATTATCGAAAAAAGAAAAAAAATGTAAGGTGGAGACTTGGTTCTATGCATCTTGTGTTGACTGGATGTTGAGACATGCCATGTGAATGCGAGCTTGCAGGGGGCGGGGTTTAAACAGACTAAATTTGAAGAAGTCCAGCATTCATCACCAGATTGAAGTCTGTCGTTTGCACCAGAAGGTCCACTTATGACATTTTGATTAAACATTACAAATTCAAATTTAAAAAAAGAAACATATGCACAGATGAATTGTTCACAGTAAGATTTATGATGCATTTATAAACTAGATTAACTAGCATAGTAAAATGTCCATGGCTAACTTGCTTCACCATCTAAGCTATGCTGGTGTGACCACCATAATTATCCTGGTCCATCTGCTAGACCAGTAGTAACCAATATAAACCAGTTTGTACAAGCATGTAAATGGCTAGCTTGTTTAAGCTAGATTTGTATTTTTTAGCGGGGAAATATAAGAATGAGTTCGAAAGGATCTGTATTTTTAGAATTTGTAGTCTTGTGTAGGTCTCATAACCCTGGGTTAAGACTACTTTTAACCCTAGGTTTTTTTTTTTTAAAGAGGGTTAGCATATCTTTTAACCCTGCATTGCAAAGCTAAATATTCTGTTTAGCAACAGACAACCAATCATAAAGTGCCTCAATTCTTGCCTAATTAATTATTCATGAGCATTGTGCAGTTACAGTAACATTTACATGCTCATCTTGTATTTTATTTATTTATTTATTTGTGTATTAGCTTTGTTTTTGTAGAGTGTTTCAGAAGCTTATTTGCATGGTGACATTTACACCATTCGACAAGCAGTTATTTCAGACTTTTTCAACTCATTCAAATGCAAAAGATTAAGGGAAAAATTCTGAGAATTTTTTTCAGAATTTTCAGAACCTGACTTCAGAACTCAAACCTAACTATCCACGACTAATTACTATCCCAGGGTGAACTATGTGTAACATGTAACAAGATAACCCAGGATTATGTAAACTCAGGGTTTGGAATTACACTGGCTTAACAGTTTCAAGTGTGGGAAAAGCCTATCTTTTGTTTATTTTGTTGTCGTCTTCTCAATTTTTGTGGAAAATCTGCATAAAACCTTCCTTACATAGTCTCCCTGTATATGGCCTCCTGCTCATCCTTCGTTTAAACTGACCCTCATTTTTGGCATACTTTCTTTATTAACATGCTGACTGATGTGGCAATGAGATGTCTGGCTCTCAAACAGGACTTAAATTGGCTTGAGTTCAGCTGCCTTCCCATCATGCAAAATAGGAGGTCTAAGATAACCACCCCAAACCACCTGCTGCATTCTACCACGGCCCGGCATTAGACTGTAGACCCAAGGGCTGGAGAGAGAGGAGGACTGCACTTAAAATTAACTATGTCTGTGAAGTGAGCCTGTAACATTTTATGGGGCTTTGTGTGTGCAGTTTGTAACAAATCCCTTTATCCAGCGACTTCCCTTGAGGAATAAATCAAACGTTTCTTTTTTAACCCTTCGATTTTTGTGACCTTGTAAGGCTGTGTAGTTCACAAAAAAGTTTTTAGTGGGACGATGGTGCATTACATTGCACTTTGTATGGTCCTGTGGTTACTGGCTGGTGCTGTAGATGTTGACTTTAGGATGATAAGTGGGGCTGGGATGAGCATATCTCCAGCTGTGTTGTATCTAGTTCGTGGACCGAATAAGATCCAGTTTCCTAGAGTTGCACAATCGTCAAAACCTGATGTGACCTTCCTTTCGTTCGCAATGGATTGCAAGTTTATATGTGAAGGTAGAACATCCCTGCACTGCATCATAATGAATTTACTCTTCACCATTAGAGGATAAACACATAAACTAAGCCTCATTTAGGATAAAAAATTATAAAAAATAAATAAATATGCAAGAGTATATTTTCAGAGGTAGGGATGTGTATTTTGGTCATTTTAAGAGTGTTTAGTGTCTGTTGAGGACAATCTACTCCAGATGTTGATATATAACCTATATTTCGAGTGTGATGAAATTCATACTGCTGTTATTATTATGTTCACTCAGACAAAGTATCCATAACGGGGAGGTGGGTAGAGGAATAGTTGGGGAGTGATGTTGTGGGAACAGAAGGACACCCCGGAATCCCTGTACCCAAGAGAGCCATGCATGGACTCCGGCTGAGGCTGGAAAACACAGCTGCCGCTGTCTGTCCAGTGTGTTCGGCACAACTGACACATATGGTAATTAGACCAGTGCTGACACATCTAAGATATTAGATTAGACCAATTATATGTGACCGTATATCATGTCATTATGGTCCTGCTGACTGTGAATATGAAAAGTATGTAGCTGGATCATCTACACCACTCCAGTCCATCAATTAACGTCTTGTGAAGCAAAAAGCTGCATATTTGTAATAAACAAATCCATCATTAAGACATTTTAACTTCAAGTCTTCTATCTGAAATATTGCTTTTTATGTTTATTTGTATATTTGGTAATTAGTGTTGGGTCGTTCTTGAACGATTCGTTCATTTTGAACGAGTCTTTAATGTGACTCGGGAAGAACGAGTCGTCTCGGGGAGTGATTCGTTCAGTCGCGCATGCGCAACATCCTATAGATTCTGTACTGGAATTAGTCAAGTAGTTCACCTGGTTGGAGTCTTCGGGTTTTTCCGAGTCGTTCGTTCATCACGTGACAGCCCCATAAGCCCAAACCTGGGTCAGATAAGAGGTGGTGAGCTAATCATAGACTGAAGACTCAGGTAAACAATTAATTAATCTTTTCTGTTTCTTATAGCAGTTTTGTATTGTTTGTAGTGTGATCAACGTTTGCGTAAGTAGTAGACATATTAGGGAAGTAACACGTAACATTTTAATTATATTTTGTTAAAATGAACGAAATGACTCGAAAAAAGATTCGTTAATTTTGCTGAAAGAGACTCAAAGGTCCGAGTCGGTAAAATGATCCGAACTTCCCATCACTACTGGTAATGGTCTTCTGCCACTTTAAATGCTCAACTTCTTTAAAGTTGGGTGGTCCCTGATTGGCTTGTTGTTTCTATTGTTCATCAGCTGGAAAAATTTGTTCAGAAAGTGATTCCAACAGTATCGTTCCACTGTGTTGTTATCACTATAGCAGTGTTGTGGACTTTCTTATTCTCATAGGACTAGAACAACTATTACAATTTTATTGTTATAGTCCTTGGTGTGAATGAGCCTTACAGGTGACATATCATGAAAATCTGACTTTTCCAGGTTTTAAGTGCTATAATCAGGTCCCCGTTGCATCTACCAACCAATGAAACGTGAAAAAGATTAACCCAGTAACTTTGTTTTGGGAAGCCTTTTTCTGCAAGCGTTTGAGAAAACGAGCGCGTCTGATTTCACTCCCTTGGTGACGTGGCAAAGGGATCTCAGTATAATATTACCACCCCTTAATCTGTAAGTTTCCACCCACGGCACCGTCAGTTTGATTTCGCAAGCGACAACGGTGTAATGCCATGGCGAAAGTTTGATCAAAGCATGCTAACTGATTTGTCTTTGGCTGCAGAGATGAGCACAGAACACTATTTAGAGTCCCAGCCTCAGAGGAGACAACAGAGCAGTGGATTTATTGATTTATTTAATGTATATTGCTGCTGCCACACAGATCTAAAATAAACATGCAATTTATTTCCCAGCTGTTTACCTTCACAGACATAACCGACTGTTTTTGTAACTTATGTGTTTTTAACGTAAACTTGTGTGTGAATGAGAACTTAGTTTAGTACTTACTTAACTTAGACAGCCGCTTTCTGTACGTGTGCTTCGGTTGTGTGTGCTCAGAAAACCGTATATCAGAAGTTTAAACTAATATGGTTAAAAAGCATGATTTCAGTGCAATAAACATGATAATCAGAACCAAAACAGATGTTTTTTAGCAGGTTCAAGCTGTAATGGCACAACTCTATTCTGGAAAAGAGGGCGGGGAGCAGCAGCTCATTTGCATTTAAAGAGACAGACCCGAAACACAGTGTGTTTCTGCTTCCACTCAAAATAGGCATTTTCAAAATGATATAATAAATTATCTGTGGAGTATTTTTTAGCTGAAACTAAACAGACACATTCTGGGGACACCAGAGACTTATCTTACATATTGTAAAAAAGGGGCATAATATGTCTCCTTTAAATTTTGAGCTCTGTTGTCCCCCTTTTATAGAAGTGTTTCACTCTGCTTTCTATGGGACTGGTCCGGTTGAGATCCATGGAGATTACATAAGAAGTTATTTGTAGTGGCATATGCTCAGTTTGTTGCATTCCTATTTCTAATTTGGTTGCCTTCACATCTTTTCGCAGCTGGAGACCCAGAGCCCGAAGATGTGAATCCCTGTTACTCTGGAAATCATGACTGTGACACAACCGCACAGTGTGTGCCGGGCGAGGGACAGCTGTTTTTGTGCCAGTGCGCCACAGGTTTCAGAGGAGACGGTCGCAACTGTTATGGTAAGAGAAGTTATATGGAAAGCTGTAAATTCAATTCCAGGTCCTTGACACTCTGTTTAATCAGTCCAGGGTCTGAAATACTTCGGTAATAACCCAAAACGTTCGTCTTCCTTCATTAGAGCCATGCATCTGCGTAACATCAACATTGCAGGTCGTTCAGAGGTGGGGTCATCACCACTGTTGTACATTAGCACGACCAGACGTTTCCTATCCAATGAGTCAAACGCAAAGTAGAGGAAACCCACAGTGAATCATGAACGTGCCCAGGGGTCTTTCCCCCCGTCTGCTGTCTCTCATCTTCTTCCTCCCACTGTTACCAAGCCAAACAACAGAAAGACTAAACACTCTTTAGGTGGAATGTGGGAGATCTGTGGGGTTGTGGTGAGTCTGGGGAAGTTTTGTAAGCGAAGACACATTGCTGTGGCATTTCTGTTTGAGCTGCACACACATAGGCCACATCCTCAGCTTTAAGCTTGTTGGGGGGCTCAGACCACCTGATATTTCCTCATTTGAAGAGGGGGGAGAGCAAATCTCACCTCCCCTCCGGAAAACTCCCTATGGACTCATACTTGATATGCTTTATTTTTTTGAGTCCCGTATTCCAGATGATATTTGACATAGAAACGTAATGATGTCTGCATTGAGTCGATTCTGATTTAGTTGTTTGAACTGATCGCCAAAGCAAATAAGAGGTCGTAGCTGTAGGGCTGCATAAATGGCCATATTTTATAAATGGCCAAAGGCTGATCACAAATTGGATATATTGCCATCTTATTAAAAATAACATGTCATTCTAATTTGACAAGGAATCTGTTTTCTTGCGCTTAAAATGTAACATTCTGGACAGAACTTGCGACCATAGTTGCTTTTGGGAAATGCACCCCTGGATGGGAAATTGTTATAGAGTATATCAACTGCAGCAGTGCATATATGCATAATATCAGAATCAAGATGAATGATTCATCTTAGATATTTGCATGAAGTTAAAACTTTTCCCAGCTGTTGCATCGCTGAACTCACCAATATAGCACTGTAAAAATAAAATAAAAATGTTTTAATAAAAATTTATTTTTTTACAAGTAAAATTGCAAGTTGGAAAGAATATTGTGGAATAATTAACACTAATACGATTGAAAATATGATTATTAATTAATATTGGTAATAATTGTGTTTATTTTGATGTTACAAATTACCTGCTGCAACCTAATCGGAAATGGTGCTGAACACAAACAGCAATTTTACTACAAAAATTACATTTTTAGATAAAATAATATTTAATAATATATTTTTTAAAATAAAAAATATTTCTGAGAATACATTTATGATTCATTTTATTTGATTCAAGGAATGGCTTATTTAATAACAGGTTGTTTGGAACAAATGGATACCAATTAAAAAATAAAATTTTCTTTTTTTGCACGTAAAAATAAACATTCTGGATGAGAAAGCATTATGGAGCAGTGCATATTGCATATGAATATCACAAACAAGATGAATGATTCAAAATAACTCTGACAGTTTCTAAAGAAGAAATTTTCTGTGGATCGTTTTAATTAAATTAAAAAAGTTAATAAGCTCATTTTCATAAAGTTAACATCAGCTGTTTTAAATCACTGGATTCACCCATAAAAAAAAACTATTATTTTCTCATTGAAATTGAATGACTTATTGCTGCTTTGCCATTTTTTCACAAATCTGTGAGAACCGCATAAGGGATGGGGTTTTTTATGAGTAAATGTTGGAAAGAATATTGTAAAACAATTAATATTTTAGAAGTGATTCTTTTGAATCATCCGAACAAAGCAATTCACCAGAATAAATCAGATTTCCCAGTGTGACCCTGAAGGCACTGTCTACGTTTGATTATGTGTGTGTGTGTGTGTGTTTTCAGGCATCATGTTCCTATTAGAGGATAATTTTTTCACCTGTCTGAACTCTTCACTCTAGAGTAGATAATAAGGGGGTCAAGGAAAGAGAGCGGAGAAAAATGAAGAGAGAGAGGGGGACCGTGTGTTCCTTACCCTCCCTGTAATTAACAATGATCAAAACCAGGTCTCCTGCTGACCAGCTCTTAACCCACCCAGAGCCTCAGGCCTGTTCCCACGCACTCCGACAGGGACTAGATCCCTTGCTATATTTATATATTTGCTATAAAGGCATGCTTTATCCCTCCAGCACCTGACTGACATATTTGACGCACACCAAAGCACCTCATATAGCTTTTTTAGACACCCAGCGTCCAAAACAATGAGTCTTGCAGTGTTATTGGCTAAGAGTAGAGCATTATGGGTTGTAATTGAGCAGTTGTTCTCTCTCTGTAGATGTGGATGAGTGTGCAGAAGATCTGAGGTCCTGTGGTGCTCATTCTTACTGTGTGAACCTGCCTGGAAGCCATCGCTGTCAGTGTGAGAGCGGATTTGAGTTTGGATTTGATGGCCGGACATGTCAGGGTAAGAAACATCTTCATGTCCTGTGCCTAACAAACTTGTGTATTCCACATCGGATATTCTTATTTATCATTCAGAAACAAATGTACATTTGATGCTTTACAGGAATTGGGCGGCTTTGAATGAAAAAAAATGGCATGCCATGCAATTATACATATAAAATTACTATATGAAAATTACATTTCCAAACAGTCAAAGTAATTAATTATTTAATTAAATTAAATAATTTATTTACATTATTTGTTGTTGTTGTTTATTCATTTTTCCTTTTATTATTTTTATTGCCACAAGTCTAAGACCTAAAGTTATCTGTGTTGATATCTTAAATAAATTCGTCAATGGCTTTGTTTGGAAGTATATAATATAAACTATACTACTCTGTCTGCAGAATACAGTATTTACTCATAGAATGTCCATATAGCATTATTTCTTGACTTATTATTTGTTTGGACTGACAGGATTTTTTAAAATCTAATATAAATTATTAAAATCTTTTAAATATTAATATTATCTCATTAAAATACACTACTTTTCACCTATGACCTTTTTGAATGAATTGAATACTTTTATTCAGAAACAATCAATTCAGTTGATCAAAAGTGACAGTAAGGGCATTTGTAATGTTACAAATGTTTTCAAATAAATTCTGTTCTTTTGAACTTTCTATTAATCGATGCATCACGGTGCCCACAAAAATATTAAGCAGCCCAACTTTATTCAACATTGAAAATAATAAGAAAAGATTGTTGAGAACCAAAAAGACTGAAGTAATAGCTGCAGTAATTTATTCACAGAAATTACATTTTCAAATATATTTAAAAAGAAGGCAGTTAATTTAAATTGTAATAATATTTCACAAAGTGACTGTGTTTTTACGGTATTTTTGTTCAAATAAATGCAGCCTTGGTGAGCAACACCAACCTTTTAAACTTTTTTTTCTAAGATAAAAACTGGATGCTGCTTGGCATCCTACGGTTTTAAATGTTTATTGTTATACTCTACGCTGTCCTATTTCACATACTATATTGCACAGTATGCAGTAAATCTAAATGAGCTTCTAAGAATATGGTCATCAGTTTATATGTGACTCAGTCTGACTTGCATGCTGTCAGTGGGATGTGATGTGTTGCAGAGGTTAAATGTTGGTAAATCACAGGCTCATTCTCTCAGCTGAATGCTGTAGGTGAAGGGTTTGCAGTGCAGAGAGAAGCATGGGTAACCAGAGATGCTGGGGAAGGGAGGGTATTTTTGAAACAATGACCCAATGTCCTCGCTCAGGGAATGTGCGTAGGAGACGAGCAGCTGAAGAACACAAGGGGGTCAGAGGACAGTTAACTCTTCTCCTTCCTGTTCAGTGCGCTCTGGTCTTTGACGGGATAGTGGGAGTTTGGAGCAACAGCTAGTATGACTCAGACTAACATCCTGAGAAAGCGGTTAATGTGGTGCTTGTTGAGTTACAGAGTGAGCGTTGTGTTTTGTGGTTTGTGCAGATGTGGACGAGTGTCGTGACCAGCCGTGCCACACCCAAGCCTTGTGTTCAAACAGTCGGGGATCTTTCCAGTGCCAGTGCCAACCGGGATACCATGGAGATGGTTTCCTGTGCCACCCTCAAAATGGTAGTTGTTTGCAGATTTGGATTTGAACATTCTTTTATTCAAGTAAAGTCCCAAATTCTATAATATCTGGTTCATTTGCATTGAAGGTCGTCCCAAGACCCAGTGTGAGCAGCACAGAGACAGTCTTCAGAGTGGAAATGGTGGTGTTCCTCTGGTAGGAGCCTTCATCCCTCAGTGTGATGAGGAGGGTCAGTACAGGCCGCAGCAGTGCCGCGGGTCCACAGGTCACTGCTGGTGTGTGGACAGTAGAGGACAGGAGAGAGCGGGCACCCGAACTCCACCTGGAGCCCCGAGAATAAACTGTGACGAGCCGGGTAAGAAATAGGCCTCTCTCAATAGGTCATCTGTCCTATTTTATAAAATATTTCATTTTTTAATCAATTAATTGTCATTGGATCTGTTATAGAGTGAATTACTCTTTTTGTTGGAATATCTCCAAATTCTAAATGTTTTATATATTTTAGATGCTGTGACTTTAATGAAATTGATATACTTTCATAGTATTTATTATAATTTTGACATAGCTTTTATTTTTATATTTGCTGTTTTCATTTTAATTATTTGAGTGTAAGTTTTAGTCATTTTAATATGTATATTTGCCATTTTTATAACTTTTTTAATATATCTATTAATTGTAATTTATTTATTTTTATTTAAGTTTTAGCAATTTTAGAAATTCAACTCAAACTTATTTTATTTCTGTTAGTGGCCAAGGCAACATTTCAGTTTTTCTTTTTTATAAAAAATTTTAAGTTTACATTTTTCATTTGATATTTTGTTTTATTTTAGTTAGGGGAGGTTGAATGTCATCAGAACCACCAGTAACATGAATTTTTTATCAAAAACTCTGTAACTTTATTGAAGTAACTTTATGGCTAAGGTTTTTGTACTGAGGGGTGTGATGGGACAATAACAAACCTCTTGTGTATGTCATGTGCCTCCAGTGCATCCCAAGACCCAGTGTGAGCAGCACAGAGACAGTCTTCAGAGTGGAAATGGTGGTGTTCCTCTGGTAGGAGCCTTCATCCCTCAGTGTGATGAGGAGGGTCAGTACAGGCCGCAGCAGTGCCACGGGTCCACAGGTCACTGCTGGTGTGTGGACAGTAGAGGACAGGAGAGAGCGGGCACCCGAACTCCGCCCGGAACCCCATCTAGAAACTGCGATGAGCCAGGTAAGCAGTAGTCTACAGCAGAGGTGTCCAAACGTTTTACTATGAAGTGACAAATATTAAACTTTATTGAAGGCCATGGGCTGAAAGTATATTTTGCATTATATCTAACTATAATATATTAAATTTGTATTTTTTTATTTCATTTATTTTCTGTATAATTAAATGCAAAAAATACAACAAAACATGTAAAAAAAATACAAATAAATATATGCTTCAGTAGCATGTTTTCCCCGGTTTTTCCTGTTTCTTTGATACACATGGCGGGCCAAATCCAGGTCTTCAAGGACCAACCTGGTGTGGGCATCTTCAGTCTCCAGGAACTTTTATTTTTTGGGAAATGATGTCACAGTCCTCTCTCAATAAGTCATCTGTCATATTTTAAATAATATTTCAAATTTTTAGTAATTAATTATCATGGGATCTGTTGCAATTAGTCTTTTTGTTGGAATAGACTGATCATTCTAATATGCTGATTTGATGCTCAAGAAACATTTCTTATAATTATCAATATGGAAAACAATTGTGCTGCTTAATATTTAGGTGGAAACGGATTCTTCGCTGAATAGAAAGTTCAAAAGAACAGCATTTGTTTGAAATATATTTGTTTTTTGAAACAATGTGAAAGTCTTTACTGTCACTTTTGATCAGTTTCATTCATCTTTGCTGAATAAAAGTGTTTATTTCTTTTAAAAGTCCCAAACCGAAACTTTTGAATGGTAGCGTATCTCCTCAGTACAAATTCCACATAGGCCAGTTGCAGTCTGGGAAAACAGGCCCTTACCCTGAGTTTAAGGAGGATAGCATAAAAATGTGAAGATATACACCTTTACTGTTGTAGACATATATTGCATTCCTCTCTGAAAAAATGTGGGATTTTAGGGAAGGTTGAGGTTGTCAAAACCATCTGTGTTTACATGGGCAATATTAACATCTTCAATATTATGATCAAAACAGATAATAACTTTTTTGGAGTTTAGAATTTGCCAACTCTTTAACTTGCTGAAACCCTTTCATTTCATATAAACAAGGGGTTGAGCAAAGGAGTGTAACAAACCTCTTGTGTATGTCATGTGCCTCCAGTGCGTCCCAAGACCCAGTGTGAGCAGCACAGAGACAGTCTTCAGAGTGGAAATGGTGGTGTTTCTCTGGTAGGAGCCTTCATCCCTCAGTGTGATGAGGAGGGTCAGTACAGGCCGCAGCAGTGCCACGGGTCCACAGGTCACTGCTGGTGTGTGGACAGTAGAGGACAGGAGAGAGCGGGCACCCGAACTCCACCTGGAGCCCCGAGAATAAACTGTGACGAGCCGGGTAAGAAATAGGCCTCTCTCAATAGGTCATCTGTCCTATTTTATATAATATTTCATTTTTAAATTAATTAATTGTTATGGAATCTATTATAGAGAGGTATCAATTGCTTTTTTTGTTGGAATATCTCCAACTTCTAGATGCTTTATAAATTTTAAATGCTGTTATTTTAAAATCATTTATATTCTGTCATAATATTTATTACAATTGTGACAGTTTTATTGTTATATTTTCAATTTTAATTATTTTAGTGTGAGTTTTAGTCATTTTTTTATGTGTATCTGTCATTTTGTAACTTTAAAAAAAATATTTCTATGAATTGTAATTTATTTTTATTTATGTTTTATTCAACTCAATCTTATTTTATTTCTGTTAGTATCCATGGCAACCATTTTTCTGGGTTTTTTTTCTGATTTTTAGGTTTATATTTTGCATCCGATATTTTGTTTTATTTTAGTTCAGCTTTATTTCAGTTAACAAAAACAATTTTAGGAGGTTGAATGTTGTCAGAATCTCCTGCAACTTTAACTTTATCAAAAATTCTGTAACTTTATTGAAGCATCTTGTACTGAGGGGTGTGATGGGAGTGTAACAAACCTCTTGTGTATGTCATGTGCCTTCAGTGCTTCCCAAGACCCAGTGTGAGCAGCACAGAGACAGTCTTCAGAGTGGAAATGGTGGTGTTCCTCTGGTAGGAGCCTTCATCCCTCAGTGTGATGAGGAGGGTCAGTACAGGCCACAGCAGTGCCACGGGTCCACAGGTCACTGCTGGTGTGTGGACAGTAGAGGACAGGAGAGAGCGGGCACCCGAACTCCACCTGGAGCCCCGAGAATAAACTGTGACAAGCCTGGTAAGACAGCTGCACACGTAGTGTTTCCAGTTTCATACTGGAAACACTTAAGTTTCCAGTATGAAACAATTTTTCAGTCCTAAATAAAACCAAAACAACGCATAAAACTATATAATCACAGCTAATCGAATATATACAGCTATGTGGAGTGGGATTTTGGTCTAATGGGATTTCACTTTGAATGGGGCAGCTACTCTAAGCAATCAAACTTAAAAATTGATAATGGTGAACGATAAAATGGCTAATAAAATCCCATAGATTTACCTTACAGCTATATATACAGACCAGAACACCATAGTAGAACACCATTGTGGCACCAACTTTCGCATGGGCAACAAGTCTAAAACATGTTTGACAAGGTCACCACCATGCTGTTGTTTGTCAGTTATAGGCTTTCTAATTCAGTTCAAGTAGTTTCACATCATGTGTAAGTAATCACTCTAATTTGTAGCAGAGGTTACATAGTCCAGTCTGCCCTGTGTTTATCCAGATTACAGAGCAGGAGGAAAAGTTGAGCTGCAAGTTTAGTCCATTTCAACACTGCCAATGAATGTGTCCTCTTCTCACCATAGTTAGAAATGCCTCCTATTTCATTTCGCTGTTTTGTAGCCAAAAATGACACTGACGAAGAAGGAAAGATGCTTTGGAACTTTCATTAGATGATTTAATTAGATTATATGAATCGGAAAACATATAGAAAATACACTGGTATGTAGTGGATGTCATAGGTTCAAGTTTAGATTATTATTATTTTATAAATTATTATTATTTTAAAATAAGATGTCTTATTATTAATAATGTAATCAACAATAACAACAATCATTAAAATATTAGATTATTTATAAATATTTTTAATTATAAAAATGTAATTTTACATTATTTGAAAATATATTAATTATTATTAATCATCATCATAAAATCGATTCAGTAGTTTCACATTTTAAAATACCTTTAAAGGAGACATCGGATGCCCATTTTACACAAGTTGGTATGATTCTTTATGGTCTTCATGAAATGTCTGCAACATACTTTGGTTAAAATTCCTCAATGGTCGTGTAAAACAAGATCCTTTTTATCTTGTCAAAAACGGCTCTGTTGACAGCGACTCGTTTCGGTGCATGTCTCTTTAAATGATAATGAGCTACTGCTCACTCCACACCCTCTTCCATTTTTTTTGTGTATTCGGTGGCGCATTACTATCAAAAACAAAACTAATCCACTCCTCATTGGCTCATTGGAGTCAGCGGTCGTGGGCGGGGCTTGAGCAGTATGATATCATACTGCTCAGAAAATCTAAACGGCTTGATAATTGAGACTGTTTAGGTTTTTTGGGGATTAAAAAAAAAAGGAGTGAATGGATTTTTATCATTGTAGGGTGGTTGTGTCCACACACTGCTAAGACACATTTATATGCAAACACCATGTAAATTGAATTTTCCATCCAATGCCCCCTTTAAAATACTTTTTTCTGTATTTGTTTCATGCTGGATTAGTCATTGGCAATTTTCATTGTTCACTTGATTAATCTCTTATTGGTTATGGGTAAAAATATCCCCATATCGTGCCGTAATATGTTCCTGGTTTCCCCTCTGACACCCAGTGCCTCCAACCCAGCGTCCAGAGACCGTCTGTGAGCGCTGGAGAGCCAGTCTGCTGCAGCAATATGGAGGTCAACTGGAATCTCACCATTATCTACCTCAGTGTGACTTTGCTGGGGAGTTCAACCCAGTTCAGTGCTACGGAGACAGCAGCTACTGCTGGTGTGTGGACCAAAACGGGCGGGAAGTACCAGGAACCCGCTCACACAATGCTGTGAAACCTGCCTGTGAGTGTCGCTTGCTGTGAAACCCACAGTTGCCTCATGAAAAAACACTGGTTAAATGGTTTAATGCTTTAACATCTACATTCTCATGTTTACATTCAGATTAAGGGCCAACAAAACGATTTGTATTTCCAAGCTAAAATGATCTGCTACCTTTTAGGTATACCTACTGTGGCCCCTCCCACCATGCACCCTCTGCCACGCCCAGATGTGACCCCGCCTCCAACAGGCACATCCTTGCTCTACGCCCAGGGCCAGCAGATTGGTGTTTTGCCTCTCAATGGCACACAGATGGACAAGCAGAGATCTTCAGTGCTGCTCGCTCTACATGTGAGACTTGCACACTATTGATTGAAATACTGAAGTCTGCGGCTTTGAGAAAAGTATACTAATTCTCTTCCGTTTACTCTTTCAGGGCTCTATAGTGGTCGGCATTGATTACGACTGCAGAGAAAGGAAAGTTTATTGGACGGATCTGGCTGGACGGACAATCAATCGAGCCAGTCTGGAGCCGGGATCAGAACCTGAGATTATTATCAACACAGGTATGTTTATTTTGAATTATTATTCAAATCTGATAATATAATATAATATAATAAATCTTTTTCAGCTCTGACGAGTCCAGAAGGTCTTGCTATAGATGTCGCCCGTAGAAGACTGTTTTGGGTGGACAGCACATCAGATAAGATTGAAACAACTAACCTTGATGGAAGTGACAGGCGTGTTCTGTTTGACACCGACTTAGTAAATCCCAGAGCCATCATCGTAGACTCCCCTACAGGGTATGTGCTTTAGATTGCTTAAAGATATATACAGTATATATATATATAATCTTGTTTAAATCAATGCTAAATAGAGCAGAGCGGTTTTGTATATTTCTAGATTCAGGAAAACACGAATTTCAACACTTGCATAAAATTAAACTGTGTGCCATCTTTCCACCCATGTCAAAAAACCTTGTATTTCAATGTAATGCATCAAATGCAAACTGCTTGGGTGGTCAAAAGTGTGAAATAAATAAGATTTTTTTTTTCATGTTTTTGAAAGAAGCTGCTTATGCTCATCAAGGCTGCATTTATTTGATGATAACTACAGTAAAAACATTAATATTGTAAAATATTATTACAATTTAAAATAACAGTTTTCTCTAAATATATTTATTTGAATATTCTTGTAATGGCAAAGTTAAATTTTCAGTAGCAATTAGCGCAGAAATCATTCTAAGATGCTGATTTGGTTTCTTATTATTATCAATGTTGAAAACAATTTTTTGCTGCTTAATATTTTTGTTGAAAGTGTGATACACTACCATTAAAAACGTATGATAAAAAAAGAAGAGAAATTAATACGTTGCCATCACAGGAATAAATTGCATTTTAAAACATTAAAATAGAAACCAGTTGTAAATGCAGCCTTGGTGAGCATTAGAGACTCTTTTCAAAAACATTAACAAATTTTTATTTATTCCAAACTTTTAACTGGTAGTGTATAATTTTGAATTATTATATTTTAAATGTATAAAATGTAAAATTATTAAAATTGTATACAAATTAAATTTAATTTATAAAATTATATTTTAGAATTATATATATATATATATATATTATATTTATATTTTAAAATAATACATTCTGAATAAAGAATAATAATTATAAAATCTATTTTATATAGCGTAGAAATTGTTTATATTTTAAAAATTCCCAAAAGCTAAATCCTTTTTTTTTTTTTTTTTTTAATTTAAAATAACAGTTTTCTCTAAATATATTTATTTGAATATTCTTGTAATGGCAAAGTTAAATTTTCAGTAGCAATTAGCGCAGAAATCATTCTAAGATGCTGATTTGCTTTCTTATTATTATCAATGTTGAAAACAATTTTTTGCTGCTTAATATTTTTGTTGAAAGTGTGATACACTACCATTAAAAACGTATGATAAAAAAAGAAGAGAAATTAATACGTTGCCATCACAGAAATAAATTGCATTTTAAAACATTAAAATAGAAACCAGTTGTAAATGCAGCCTTGGCGAGCATTAGAGACTCTATTGGTAGTGTATAATTTTGAATTATTATATTTTAAATGTATAAAATGTAAAATTATTAAAATTGTATACAAATTAAATTAAATTTATAAAATTATATTTTAGAATTATATATATATATATATATATATATTATATTTTGGACAGGAACCAAGCGCCTTGAGTGTATATCACCTAATGGGACAGGGAGACGTGTGGTCCACAGTAACCTGAGCTACCCCTTCAGTATGGTTGCCTTCTCCAATCACTACTATTACACAGACTGGAGGAGGTAAAGCAGCACAGCACATGCATGTACAAGACCATATGACCACCAGAATAATAATCAGAAATAGTTCTATTCATAAATGTTCCTATATTACATTTTTTTTTTAAAAGTCCTTCATGCTTGTTTCATTTCACTTTCTGTGTCGCACTGCACCTTGTGCTCCATTCACTTCCATTCATACTCAGTACAAAGAATACAGAACATGAAGCAGAGTAGATTATGTGTTTTTTTTTTATCTTTATAAAAGGTATTGTTATTTGCTATTAACAACTTTATTAAGAACAGAAGCCCTGGAGCTTACTCATACTTGTTGTGAGGTCCAGTTAAAGTTGAATATGACTGTCCCTTTATCAATTAAATTGTTATAAAAATGACTAATCTTATTTTCTTTTAGGGATGGGGTCATCGCTCTCAGTCGAGATAACCAGTCAACAGATGAGCACCTGCCTGATCAGAGGTCTCATTTGTATGGTATTACAGTCGCCCCGCCACACTGTTTATAAGGTACTTATACACTGTTTATACTGTACTATAAGGTACCGGTAAAGCATGTAAGTTTTAGTCTAATACATTTTCCATGCATGCAAATATTGGTCAAATATATGCAGCTTTGGTGAGCATAAGAGATTTCTTTCAAAAACATAAAAAAATCTTACCAGCCCAAAACTTTTGAGTGGTATATTGAAGTACTCTGTATATGCTCCCAATGGACTTTTGCTAGTGTAGTTTAGTAAATTAAAAAAATTATTTGTGATTTAAAAATATTGCATGAAACAGATTTTTCTAAAGTGTCTGTATTTGTCCAGATACACCTAAAAGCAAATCACGTTTACAATGTAGCAAAACGTGGATGACCTCTTTTCCAGCAAATAACAGGATAACATATTTCAGACATGAGCTGTCAGCTACAGGCACTTAAGAGAAAAGTACAAGGCACCTGCTGCCAAATCACTGTAGTTTTAACAGCAGCGATGAAACACTAGTGTCACACTGGTGCTTCAAAGCATGTCGGTTCTTTACAGACCAGAAAACAGTCAAACAAGATCAGAGTAAGTGTTTGTATATCTGTACTAGCATATGAAAGCAGGCAATTTCCCCAGCAGAAAATGAAATGTTGTCGTGTTTGCCCAAATGTGGCTTTCTAAGGATTTCCGACGAATTGTGTTATAGGGAGACGCTAATGACAGAGCCAGCGTTACATGGTGCTATTTTGGGCGAGAGTTTGGAGAGCTTGTGCTGTGGGAATCGCGACGGACACGTGGACTCCGAAGAGAGCCGATCGCAGAACCCGCAAGTCTCGACGAACATCACCGTCAATGCCAAAGTGCAAATTTACAAACATGAAAGCGTGAATTTTTTCTCAAAATAGTTTTGTAAATTTGTTTTATACCTCATTTCTTTCTACTGTACTTTTGTATGTGATTTTGTGTTAAAAAACCTAACAAATACAAAAAAAAATACCCTAAGAGTTTAGTTGTGTAATTTGAATGTTTTTTAATACACTAAAATAGTACTTTGGGGAAAAAAGTACTACCCAAAGTGGTCTTTTACCAACCTTCATTTGTTTGATCTTTTGTAAGATGTGATATTTATAACAATAAAATGTGATTGACAACTTTATGTCTGCTCGCATTATGTTTCAGATTTTCAAATATTTTTGGCTCTACAGTGATTATTTTTTTTCAAAATACAGAATGCGCAATTGGAGGTATAAAGCAGAACAGGTTGAATTTCTTGCTCCAGGGTAAAACAAACTTACAGTCTGCCTACAAAACTTTTCTGCGTTGCATTAAGGTTTATTATGCAACAAAAACAAAGTCCAACTTTTTATGGAAACCCATGTGACATTTCATAAGTGCCTCTACATAAGGCTACAATGAAATTACATTTTATAATTCATCTTTGCATTTTTTCAATTACAGGGCAAAGAAAATGAATGATAAAGAAAAAAATAACACTCCAGTTTTTGAATTCAAACAAAATACCTGTGGGGTGGTTAATGAAAACAAGCATACTTCACAGAGCATGTCTTGTGGTCTCTGCGGCAAGCTCCAGGCAGATGTTTTTATCTGCCCACCTTTCCGAGGCGGTGATCTGTCTTGGGGTCGGCGATGATGGCCTGAACTGCCACGATGGCCTCGTTGATATTGGTTTGCAACTCTCTGAGCTCCTCGATGTGAAGCAGGCGAAGAACCCTGGCCGCTTCGTTCAGAGTCGCATCTGGAATGGGCAAACAAGTTCCTTGTGTTTACAATCCCTTCAAAAGTTAACAACAAATTAAATGCAGAATGTGAACGTGATGGTGCACTAATTGTGTCTTAAAGAAACATGAAGAAATAATTTGAGAAGGTGATAAAACAGTTTTGCAAGTGCAAACCTACCTCCGGTATCAAATCCTAAAATATGCTTATCAAGAGCCACTGGTAAACCCTATGAAAGAACAAATACGTTTTATTTATAATTAATAATTGAGCACTAACAATAACTGAGCACCAAATCAGCATATTACTATGATTTCTGAAGGATCATGTGACCCTAAAGACAGGAGTAATGGCTGCTGAAAATTCTGAAATTAAATATTACTATTTGAACTGTTTTTATTGATTGATTGATTGTTAAATGCAGCCTCTGTGGACATAAGAGAATTCTTTCAGAAACTTTTTTTTTTTTTTCAAACTTTTATATGGTAGTGTAGCTGTATATCAATCCAGTTTTAAGAAGTCTAGCAGATTGATTTCATTTCATAAAGCCATTATATGCTTACCTCTTTTGCTTGACTGGCCTTTGCAATAGCATCAGGGGTCAGACGTTCCTGTATCAGGATCCTAATGGCCTGTGATGAGAAATAACAGAATAATTTCAGTTTAAAATGCACTGGATATAGACTAATTTTTCGTACTATTGGCACAAATAAGATACTTACTTTAAGCATTACCAAATAGTCTTCATGCCGCTGAATTTTGAGTAGATTAGCAAGAGCCAATACACCAGCCTTAAAATCTGGATTGTTACCTAAAGAAAAAAATCACTTAATTTCAGCCCAACACATAATTTGAAAAAAAAAAAATTCCAATGCAAAACTGTTGTTGAACCAACCAAGGAACTCTTTGGTGATGATCTCTGAAAATAATGTTGCCATGCTTTTGCGATTGGTTGACCGAAACCTTTGGAAGTTTGTTTCCACCAAAGAAATAAAATCTTTTTTCTTGCAATTCTGAGTTTACATCTCACAATTTGGACCCCCCCCCCCCCCCCCCCCCCCCCCCCCCCCCACACACACC